AAGAAGAATATATGCAGTGTATTATTTGTTGAAACTGTACTTCCGATTTGATTTGAAACTGTCTCATTGCTATATGTTTATCAATAAAACTGTAGAAAAAAAAAAAAAAAAACTTAAAACCCTACACCTAGCCAAACCATTACTCAAAAATGAAAACAAAATTTTAAAAACTTTGAGAAAAGGTCTCACTGTGTAGTTTAGGCTGGCCTTGAACTTACTATGTAGCCTAGGCTGGCCTCCAACTCACAGTGATCCTTCTGCCTCAGCCTGTGGAGTGCTGGGATTATAGTTATGGGTAAACACACCCAGCAAAAATATTTCTTGGGATGTGAACAATGGCTTTACTTTCTGTGAATCTTTTGAAGGAAGTTATTTGAGGAAGTAAAAAATAACAGAAAGCACAGTACAAGGAACAGATCTAAAAAACAATCAGAATATATCAGAAGGTTAAGGAAGGGAGTTTCAGGATTCTTATTTAAATGAATACAGCTGAGCCAGGTGTGGTGCTGCTCTTTGGGCGCTTAGGCCAAAAGATTACTGTGAGTTCGAGACCAGCCTGGGCTACATAGTGAGACCCTATCTCAAAAAATTTGAATAAACAACAAACAAACAAAGAATACAGCTGAGCTGGGCATGGTGACATACATCTATAATCCCAGCACTGAAAAAACAGCAAAACAAAACAAACATAAAGGTTTTAGTTGAGAGGTTGGGTAAATTTAGTGAAGATATGTTAATCTCCTGAATTAAAAAATAATAATCTCCAGGAGAAAAAAAATTATGCAAGCACAGTTGGACAGCACACAGATACAAATTATTAAGTTATTCTTTAGTTTGATTTTGTTTTTTGGACAGAGGGTCTCTAGCCCAGGCTGGTCTCCAATTTGCAGTGATCCCCCTGCCTCAACCTCCTGAATGCTGGGATTATAGGCATAAGCCATAACACCCAGAAAATTAAATTACCCTTAAGACTGAGAGGTTGGGGGCTGGTGAGATGGCTCAGTGGTCTAAAGCACCTACTTAGAACAAGCTCAGCAAAGCACAGGGACC